CATATGAAGAGGAATTTTTCATTGGGAAACAATACTAGCTGTTTGAAATGGGATGGCACGGCGGCCTATTGAGTTATAATTTAGTGGCTAGCTCAGTTCCTCAGATAATAAACAGATAGACATTTCATCCTGGAGAATTTCATAAACCTGTCATTGTTATAAAATTTTACGAAATTGATCAATTCCGCAAATGGCACTAGACCTGTGAAGACAATTTAATACGTAGTGAAAATAATCAGCGGAGTATCTTCCAAGAAAGAAAGATAAAATATTTCGTCATTGGCATAAATATGAAGTAGTGTTTACGATATATGTCAGAGCAAATGTGATTTGATGGCAATTTTTATCACTGGATATTATTGTTGTTGTTCGTGTAAGTTATTCAGATAACCACCACCAACACAATCAAAAATACCAATGATTCGGTGCAATTCACATCATCAGCACCATCAATATCAACATAGGACCAGGCATTACTGCGTAACGGTCCGAGTTGCCACACCTCATATCAGCACATCAAGTAGAAAGGTAGTGAGGTGAAGGATGAAGATAAGAGAATGCAGTCAAAAGAAATACAAAGTATGAGGAGAAAGAAAAGAGGAGTGACAAAATGGTGAGATTCGGTATACCCTCCTTAAGATGAGGATAATGTGTGTATGCATCTGCGCCACTGACATCGGTTCTCAGCCAAATCCGCTAGAGTCTCCAGCCACTGGTTCCTCTTGTCCCACCGACCCCAACCACCTAGTCTGCATCGCCCTACATGGCTCAAACCAACAGTCAAAGACTTCATACATTGGTGCCATGTTTTAGTCTGGCCACCTCGGGTCTTTTTCCAGCCTGGACCTACTTCGGCCAACATCGTATGACGAGGCTATTCACAGCAAAAGCTGAAGCGTATTTTCTTGTCACACATAAGAACAAGCAGTTCTAAACCTGCGCGCGCACACACACACAGAGGGGAAGACAAGCAGAGATTTCTATTCGTGAATAGACTTTGAGATCACGTCTTCCACAGGAGTCACCCTGAAAACTCCTGAAATAACCAATCTAGTCTTACTGTTTCGCCTGGAAAGTTGGTTTTTCATCATGTAAGTTTGATAAAGGCGATTCAGCGGTAATTATGGACAAACTGGATTACTTAAACAAAATTGATGAACATACCCAAACAGGATCATATGAAGAGATTAAGAAACCTCTAGACGCAGTCATGAATAAAATTAAGAAATCTACAGCCGATCTGATACGCCAATTAAGGCCATCTCTAGGTGAGTCTAAATGCTTCAATTTAATGCTTAAAACTAATAATCCTAGCAGAATTTATGGCACTATTAAGGTTCATAAATCAGGTTATCCCATTACACCCATAGCTGACTTCAGAAATGCTCCAGCATATGAACTAATAAGGTACTCGCTATCGATATTGTTTCCTTTTAGGAACCGTTCAAACTCCAGACTAATATACTCTTACGAGTTAAAACTAAAACTTAGTGACCTACATATAGAAGAGGATGAAAAAATGGTTACTTTCCATGTAACAAGTCTTTACACTAAAATACCAATCAATATGGCACTGGAAGCTGTCAGAAGTCAACTAAATATTAACTCAGAACTAAGATGAGATTATATTAGGTGTACAGTTGTGCCTAACCTCCACGGTCTTCAAGTTTCAGGACAAAATATACAGACAAATAGAAGAAGTAGCAATGGGATCCCCAATATCCTCAATCGTTACAGATATATTTATGGATAGTTGGGAAAATATGGCTTTACAAACGTTTAGTCCAGCACCTAAGATATGGTGGCGATGTGTGGGTGACACATTTACAGTGTTGAGATAGAAACACATCGACAATTTCTTCACACATATAAACTCAGTAATAGGCACAATCCAATTCACTTATGAGGTAGAAAATGAACAAGGTGAATTACCTATGTTGGATTGCAGGATAAAGCGAAGGAAAGACGGTGGTTTAGATACTACGGTCTACAGAAAACCGACACATTCTAACAGGTATCTAGACTTCAAGTTATCTCATCCAATGTCAGTTAAGGCAGATTTAGTCAAATATTAAGATAGAGCTAGAAAACTGACTAGTCAGTGCAGGACATAGGAATTTAGCTAAATACAGAATGACAGACCCGAAAAAGATCAATAATCTAGAAAAAAAATCTCGGCTAGTGCAATGCATGCATTAACAGACAGCCACACAATAACAATATGGTAGTGGGTAAAACCACTGTACTTAAGTCCAATAAAATTAGGTGGAGACCGAGAGAGATTGATTACTGAATCTTTGTTATTCGAACTAACCAATAACCCAACACATGTGATACAAATGATGCAACACCTGGACCAGAGATATGGAAAATTCTACCACAGTGCTCAAGTCTTACACGTATATTAATATAAAGAAACCTACTTGGTTATCTCAGCTGCCACAAGGTCGGCCTTTAGAGTCGTGTCATAGAAACACAAATAAGTGTTTATAGCTATTTACTCATATACATATGTATATACCAACAAAATTAGAGACAATCTTAAGTGAAACACCACATATCATAGTTGAATGAAAGAAAATCGTGATGCAACATGAAGTAAATAATCACATCTGTTATGTATCATAACGTGTTAGTTATTCATTCCTTCGTAAATGCTGGTGACAAATAACTTTTAGTTGCTGAGTTATTAATTTATGTATCTTTTTTCTATGATGCATATGTCAACAAAACTGTAAAAAAAAAGACAGACTATCATCATCAATCTTATACCATTCAGGACCATGCTTACAGACTAGATCCTAATCACTAAAACAGTACTCGGAATTAAAATTATACTGGTTTATGAAAAACACCTCCAAATTAATAGGACTGTTAAACTTAATCACCGTAAAAATCAGTTTACAACATACATTAAATGAGTAACATAAAAAGTTAAAATTTTGACAATATGTTTCGATTTATGGGAACTGAACGAACTTTTTGTCATTTCTTATAAAAATTACGATGATTTCAAGGTAATATTCATCATGAACTGAATAAACTTGAAGAACTATTGAGAACCTGGAAACACTGGATAAGTGTTTCGTACCAACATGGGACTATTCAGAAGTGTACACCTGAGAACTCACAAACGAACAATCCCAGAACCTTCAGATCTCACGGCAAACACGTTACCGGTAAGTTGATAAGTCAAATGTCAATAATCTACATCTTTCTACTATTGTCAATTACTTGTGTTTCTCTTTTTTTTGAATTGGTACTTTAATCCTGAAGATTCTATCCTCATTCAGCATAAACTTAAAGTTTATACAGATAATGTCAGTTAGATTGGCAATGAAATGTTTCACTATATCCCCAAAATTACTCAGCTGACCTGTATGCATTCTCCAGTGTCTCAAGTATGGCATAAACCAAACCAAGTAATGAACAATACTTAATTTTTTTAAACTTTGAAGACAGTGGATTCGGGTCGTAGAAGTAATATCTGGATACCAGTCAGTTGCGAAACACGATTAAATTACTACTCAACAAATAGAAGATCATGGTAACTTCCAAACAGAAAATAAAATTCTGTCTAGAGGCTTGTGGAAATATGTACCATTGGATTCCGACCCAGTGGGTTAATGGTAACGTCCTGGCCATGGAACCTGAAGGTCGTGGGTTCGATCCCTGGAAGTGCCGGGTCGTGGGTGGGCATTCCTGAAAACTCCCATACTAATGGGATGAAACAGCTGTCCGGTGCTCCGAGGTTTCCAATATTCCTCCAACTGACGTCAGTGCATGACGAATTCCAACCTAGAAAACATAATTACTGAGATGCTCTCTTATTTATTCTAACAACGAAGTATGCCAATCACTAAGGTGGACTAAAGTATGGTATTGGTTTCCAATTCATGAAAACATCTCAGACTGTGAGGTTAACCGACAGAGGTTCAAGTTACCGGTGAAAGTTGAGTTTTGTGGAAGTTACAACTAATGAATACAGATAGGAACAGAAACCAGATGCATAATTAGCACACACTGACTGCCTACTAGTGCTTAGTGTGTGAAGTGACTTTTTTCACTACAAATCTATAGGTCTTTTATCGGCTACCATGAATATGTCAGAAGTGCAAGGTATGCATGCAAATAAGATAATATTAACTGATAGGACATCAGACCTTTGGAGAGAAAGAATAAAGTGGATAACTTCAACCACGGATTAACAGTATAACACTACTTATTTTAAGCATATTGTTCAAATATTCAAATAATTTCCCATGATATTAATATCACAAGAAGGCTTCAGGTGTTTGACCGCCATTGCCTTCATAGCATAGACCATGCGTGGTGAAGTCACCACGTTAGTAACACAGAAGTCAGATCTAGATTACTAGGTAGGAGAGGAAAGCCAGTTAATGAAATCGTGAAATTTCATCGACTGAGATGGCTGAGACATGTGTTACGTATTCCTAGTCACCATGTGCCTCGCCACGAAATGTTAGCTGAAGTATGTTCAAGATGGGAAACGGGTCGGGGCGGCCAGACTGAAACATGAAGTCAATGCATGAAGTATTCGACTGTTGGTCTGAGCTGTGTAAAGGGATGTAGACTTCCTGGTTGGGGTCCATATGACAACAAAAATTAGTAGTTGAAGGCTGTAGGCAATGAGGTTCAGAATCGATTTCAGTAGTGCAGATGTATCCACAGTTTATCTTCATCCAAACCGCTTTACTGAATTTAGCGTTTCCATATTTCTCCTTCTGCTTTTTTTACTGCTTTCTACTGCCTTTGCGATATTCCGGGATCGAATTTTCGGAAAATGGTCGTATTTTGCAACAACCACGGGATATGTAGGATTACTAAATAATACGGTAACTTATCCACCAGAATGCGTCATATTCGAGTGCATATGACAACAGTAGCATTTCACAAACACAATTACACTCGAGAGATGAATTTCAAAATATAAATATATGGTATTTTGCGATAAGGAAGCATTCAACATTAAGATTTACCTCAGGCCAATCACGATCACGTGGCCATGTAAGCAATTTCAAATAAGCTTCACGTAGGATATTATTTGGTGTTAGCGGGATAGAATCATTTTTCACTGTTCCAGGTAAATTTGTTGAGTCATCTGAAGTCTTTTTTACATCCACTGGTGTATTGCCTGAATTGGAGCCTTCAGTGGACTGAAGTGATAAATTAAGGAGATCATTATGTGCTTGTTTAATCCAGTCACGTGTATATCCCAAACCGTCGATCCCAATTTCTAGGCAGGAAACACAGAAAGATAATGACATCTCAACAACAACAACAAAAGAAAGAAAGTTGCGGTAATTTTAGGAAAAAACTCAACTGCTGGCGATAATAACCAGAATATGGAATAATAACTCTGTTGAAGCTTACCTTGTGATTAGGGTAACAGTTGGAACAAAACTTAGATTTTCCTAGAATTAGAAGCCTCTCTCTCTCTCCAAGTTCTTAGCTGGTAGTACTCTCCCGACTGGAATGTGAGGATTAATTGATAATCCGGCTTCAATATCAAATGAACTGAGTTAACCAAGTGTTGAGCCTGGTTGTCATGTCGGTCACTGGTCTACACACTCTACTTAGAACTAGTAGGCCGTGGGATCGAACCCTGCTCCACCAACCAAGGTTTAGGAGGCTAAGTAGTACGATTAACCCTTACACAGTAGGTGTATTTCATTGTTTACTGCACGGACGCAGCACGTGGTTGCTGAGTGCATTCCGACTTTTTATGTGAATGAGGGATATACAACTGACCATTTTACATTACAGACTCATTACGATAAGAACCAAATTAGTAGCTGCTAATTAAACTGTTTGACGTTAATACACAGATTTCTTGCATACAAAGATTGTCAAAACTCAACAAAAAAGAAAACCTGTATGGTCATTCACTCAGTGTCATAGCCAGTAAAGTTAACACCGCTAACTAGATTTCAATATACTGCTGAAAAAACGCACGTCCAACAACATCATCTTGAAGCAGAATTCCACATGAAGGCTGATATCATGACTAGAAGCCATTGAATAAGTATTTCCAGCCTATGCGTGCGATTATGCAATACATCACGTAAACCATGTTAGTTTACGCATCAAGTACGCATTAATTCGAATCCAAATACTCTCTTATGAACTCTAGTCATGGTTCTTAGAGCGATAAAGATAAAAATAAAACAACGTGGAATTTTGAAGTGTGGAGTGTATTAGTTCACGTTGCCATACTTCATAAGACCATACAAAAAGCGAGTAGATAAAAAGAAAATTAATAATGAAGTAGACAAAAGTATATATATACGTGTAGACTACTAAAACACTTTAACTTTTGAAGATGAGGAAAATCGTAACCAATTTTGAACTATATATATATCATTGAGAATCTTGAACTAAATAAAAACTTCAGTGAGTTTTGTTTAGTGATCATATATTGACAAATTTATGGTTAAAATAAATCATAAATAAAACTAACACACTAAAAGAACAATCATAAGAAAAATGAACATTTTTGAGGATAAAATAGGAATGAAATTTGACCACATGTAACTCTTAAACTTGTCTGGTTGCACTATTCAGTTTCTCAAGCAAGTGACCCGAAACAGTTTCTTGAGAAACGTTCAAAACATTTAACAAATACACGCCCGACCACTCTAGAAATAGTTTGTACCTCAACGTGGTATTCTGATTTGTATATCATAATGACCTAACAAACTAAACTAGTGGAATATTTGTCTCTTGAAGTTCTCCTATACCAGAAAAGTGTGTCAGAAAGTAGTTAGACAGAAACAGTTACCGCTATGGTGAAAACAGTTGCGTAATGAAGGTGATACTGCTGAGTGAACGAGGAATGACAGCAGTAAATTTTTTCAGCGGATGACTGGTAGTTCATGCTGACGCTGCCTTCCCTATAGAAAAAGAGATTATAAGATTTCGGCTAGAAAAATAACTCACACGCTGTGCTCAGATGTCTTCCGGTGCTAGCGGTAAGGGTTGTCTACCTGGATTTGAGTCAATCAAAACTAAACCTCAAACTTCCAAAAGGGTGGTGTGTGACTGACTATCATGTGGTCACATACGACCGTTGCTAAAACAGCTTTCTTAAATGCCTCAAAAAGAAGAAAGCTAACAGGCTGTAGGAAACTGGAAATCATTAACTGCCCTTAAAACTTAATTGGTACTCAAGTTCCCTCGGATCATTTTGTAACCTTCCACATATTTGCCTTCTAATCTTTTCTTACATCTTTCGGTCAACAATCTTATCTCATGGTAATTTTTTGTAGTTCCACACCTCTTGATAACGAGTCACCGGAGTAACATCCCCAGTTTCAAAGAATTCGAATTCTAAACTATGTATCGAAATTTTGAACATCTACACTCGTTAAGTGAAACTCTGGAATGTCAGGCCATGAACGTGTGTTGTTCGTGAAACACTTAACGTTACCCGACCAAATCGGTGAACCTGAGAACTTTACTCTCCGAGTTTCTGGAGACTCAATGCTTGGTTATCACGGTTTTGTAAGTATAGGTATAGTATTCGCTTTTAAGGCAGAAACACACTGCCCGGTTTACAGTCACCTGTCCGTTTTTCCGCAAAATGGTGCAGTAAGAAGTAAAAATAATAGCGAATTTCGCCGTAATCCACACTGCGATTCAGATAACGTAAAGAGTAACTTCAACTTAAAACCGTCTAGCCTCCCTACTGAAATTCAATCATATGCGATTGTCATAGTAGATGGTTTTAATGAACAAGTGGGCACATTTGGAATCGGATAAAGGCCAAGACAATCACCCCTTTTGATGTTGTGCGCTCTGAGCTGGAATGTTTATTCATGGGGCTTTCATTGTCATTCTAGACAACATCATCAAGAAAACCTTCAGAAAATTCGTGAAGTTTGTGCTGATGATATTGTCTAAAATGATAATCAAAGCTTCACGATCCAATAATCGAGCTCTGAGAACACAACAACAAGATTACCCACCTGTTACAAATATTGTCAATCTCACAACCACAAATTTCTGGCCAGTACGAAATTCAGACATAAAGAGACATTATATAGTAATGATGGATAGTGGCTAGCAGTGGAATCCATGATGCGCGTTTCGTCCTATTTGGGAGTCGTCAGCTGGGTATACCTGCCTCCCAGCAACAACAATAAAGAGACACTGTCTAATGTGGCGTCCACCAACCATGATTCAACGGTGGACACAGATAAAACATATCTTTATTAGTTGTCGCTCAAGATCGCTTCCCTTTTTGAAGGATATACTAGAACAGTGATCACATGTTAGTTGGAGCACGCCTATTTCTATGCCTAAATGGAGAATACTGACACCTCTCCCAACAAGTAATTGGCTACACAGTTATCCAAACAGGATAACACCACTAATGTGGAAGGAGCCTGTCACCAAATCTAGTTCGCTATAAAAACAGCGCTAAAGACTACAAGTGTCCTTCTCAAAAAGGTTATGAAGAGTCAGTGGATTTCCGCATCTTTTGAACGATTGGATCTGTTTCCATGCAATCCAATAGGCTCTGAGCACACTGATGAGCGTTAGCATTTCTATATATAAAGAAGGGAAACGTAAAACATCTGTATACACTCAACATAAGCATTTCCACTCACTTTGTTGAGCTTCTAAAAATGTGGCGAATTTTGTGCGTTCATAAGTAACTGCCTGTTGTCTAATATACGGTCGCATTTGTTCGATTGTAAAGTTCGCCAAGTCCATATGCATTTTATCCAAAAGAATAAAAGTTTGTCTAGAATAAGATGAGGAAAAATTTATTTCGTTTCAGATATTTCTACATATTAAAAATGTAAAAGGGAATATCTGAAGAAATCAAATTGGTTTTCAAATTATGTATTTCTGATGATCACCAGTGGTGTCAAAACAGATAAAACCTGTAAACGTTATCAGCCATATCGACTAGATTTAAACAACGCACAGATTGTGTCGGTCCCTCATTAAAAACTCTACTAGCCGTATAACAGATTGGTTATAGTCTGAGTCTAACTCGATTTACGAAAGTTGAGGCTCATTGGTTCAGGAACTTAATTATCAACCGATGGGTAGCAGGTTCGAACCCGGCTCCACCTACTCAGGTTTGTGCAGTCAGGTAGTATCACCAGCTCAACGCGTAAAACATATGACATCGTCAGCTGCACTAATGTGCACAACATGGCTGACTGGATTTCGATTTCAATTCGAAACCAGTTTAAGCACCGATTTGTATACTACGTACTATTCTGAACCAATTTTCACAGTTCCTACTGAGACCTGTGGTTCAGGATCACATAGAAAGAATAAGGCTTTCAACCACATTATCATACTAACACAACACCCAAAAACAAATGACCTCAACAGATCCGATAAGTGCAGGTGACAAACATCCATCTTCATCTATCGCTAAATATATACCAGAAACTAACCAAAGGGTAAGTATAATTGTTTTTATATAATACCGTCGTTGATTGGACCGAATTGATCGGTCTCTGTTGGCATATGGGCTCCTGTGCGGATGCCTCGATATCTCCTGTGTTCTAATTATATATTAATGATGGATCGTGGCTAGCAGTGGAATCCAGGATACGCATTTCGTCCTATTTGGGACTCGTCAGCTGGACGTACCTGTTCCCCAGTGGGTGATGTTGTTCCCACCGGGATTCGGACTCGGGAGCGATCGTTCCGGACGCCAGAGCGCTATCCACTACACCACTGAGCCACGACAGACACTTCTTATGCGACGGGTATAGTTTTAGTATAATTATTTTTGTATAATAATCGCGGCGGGAACAACATCACCCACTGGGAAACAGGTACATCCAGCTGACGAGTCCCAAGTAGGACGAAGTGCGTATCCTAGATTCCACTGCTAGCCATGATCCATCATTAATATATAATTAGAACACAGGAGATATCGAGGCATCCGCACAGGAGCCTACATGCTAATAGAAACCGATCAATTCGGTCCAATCAACGACGGTATTATATAAAAACAATTGTACTAAAACTATACCCGTCGCACAAGAAGTGGCTATCGTGGCGCGGTGGTGTAGTGGATAACGCTCCCGCGTTTGAAGCGATCGCTCCCGAGTCCGAATCCCGGTGGGAACATCACTCACTGGGAGGCAGGTATATCCAGCTGACGAGTCCCAAGTAGGACGAAATGCGCATCCCGGGTTCCACTGCTAGCCACGATCAATCATTAATAACCAAAGGGTAGACATGAAAACAGCCTTTAAAGTACTACAGATTAGGGTCGAATGCTTAAATTTATTGAAGCTTCATGCCATTCGTAAATTCAAACCTCTTTAGTATACCCAAAATTTGGTCAGATGTGCTAAGAAAACCGTCCTTTGAATTCATGTAATTCAACCGCAAATAAACAAACACGCATTTATAAAAATACAAGGTTAATCGATATCACATGTATATGAATAACTAAGATGATGAGCGTGACGTATCCAGTAATCTTATTGGTTAGCCCAGAATAAAAAATGCACATACAACTAACTCATTAATTTATGCATACAGTGAGTGTCTGTTCGAATAATTTTGAAGTAAAAAAAAATCATACTATACGTATACATCTTAAGTGGACGACCAAACTCTAAAATTTACTAATCCATTAAACAAAGTCATGTAATTATTTAGGGCGATCACCTTTTAACCTCTGAATTATGTACTTCATAACATCAATAATATTAACAAAGTTTACTTCATTGAATAGCACGGTTTTTTATTACTGAAAAAAGCGTGCATGAAAAGTGGACTAAATGAACATGCATCCTTCCTGAGTAGCAATTCAAGAGAGACAGATAGATAAATTAATGTAGAACCTAACGTAGAAGTGCATCGCTGCTTTAAGTTGTCCCACTGCACCGTAGCACGGCACAGAAGAAGTGAGAAGAATAGTAGGGATATCGTAGTGAAATAAATATTAGATAAGAAAGAATCAACAGACAGATAAACAGACAAAACCAAATCAGAAACTGGCACACAACTCCATCGGCTCAAGTTGACACACCACACAAACAACAGATGCATCGAAAAACAGTTACTTCAAAGAAGAAAAGTTGGCTGCGAGAATAAACAGTTTGCCGATAACGGTCAGTGCAAATATTCAAGATTTAGAATCCATCAAAGAGTCAATACATCTACACCATTGTCACCGATTTTCAACCATCTCACCAAAAATACTCAACCACTGATTCCCATAGTTTCAGAGATACCAACCACGTAGTCTACATCTCAGCACACAACGCAGACAAACAGTAAGAGACTTCATCGACCAGTTCCACGTCTTGGTCTCGCCACTCTCAGCCATACTCCAACTTCCCCCAGCATGACACATCGAGATAGATGGTGGCTCGGTAGGCTCAGCACATGTTCAATCCACCTCACCTCACTCCCAGAAGGTTCACAACCTCATCGACCAACTCCCATGTTTTGTCTAGTACCCTCAGCCTAACCTCCACAATACTCATATGGTGATTCCAACAAACCAGAGCAATGCTAACATGATATACCAATGATCAAAGACCTGTAACCGGTTCACATCTACTTCCACTATCTGCCACTGTACCTATCTGGGGGTAAAAGTCTGATCGATGTACCCTCGTCTGTCTGAAACCTGACTGCTTTTCTCGGGTTTGTCGTTCTCGAGCTCCAGTTAGGCGTCGAATAATTATGGGGTTCCGTAAATATATCTAAGATACCTTTCCGACTGGCCCACCTTCTCTACCTGGGCATATAAGTCACCCGCCATTTCGAAATCTGAACGTTTCGCTTTTGGCAGCAAAATTAACAGCTTCACATATAATTCTTCCTTTGCATCGTCCGAACCATAGTAGGGGGGTTCAAAGGCAGAGATTGAGAATAGATATCGTCTGGTCTAACGATCCTTCCTAGTTCTTACAGGTCCATTCAATCAGCATATAATGGCTGTTGACTGGTAATCAAGCTGAGAAGCGCAATTTCTGCCTTATAGATCAATCCTATGCCAACAACAGCGAGTACATGAGAACTAGCCCTTGGGTCTCTGGATACTCGTAAGCTGAATTCTGAAGATTCACAGCTCCGGTCAGATTATGTTAATTTAGTAACCGCACTCAGATCCCTTATACTGCTCAGAGACACAGCGCAAATCCATGACTCAATATTACAGAGTTCTGACGAGCGATGCTTGCTGTCCAATTCGGACGTTCAGACGTTAAAAGCTCCCATATTAAATTGAGGGCGGGGTCTTAGGAAACCAGGAATGAGGCTCCAGTCGTTCGCAATGGTCACAGAATGAGAGGCTGGGTAAGGTTTAAGAGGCTTACTATTAGTATTAGGAGGTGAAGGCAAAGGAGGAGAAAAAGTTGAGGAGGATAGTTCGTGTTTGGATGGGTCTTGTGTACTACTGGAAGCGGATAACACTTCCCGGTTGTCCACACCATGGAAGGCTATTTCTTCTTAAGGTACGTGAAAAAGAAGATTTGTGTGACCGCAGAGGCTATGGGATATCTGCTAGAGGCCTGTCACACACACACTTTTACAGGTTGTTGTTTCAAGGTTTGGTTGTTCGAACACTGGATAGAAAAAACCCATACCACCGGCACCGGAAGACCGTAAGGCAGAGAGGAGTGTGCTTTCTTGGGGCCGGCGCTTTCAAAACCTCTCCCCCTTTCTATAAGGAAGCGAGCATCAGCGTGGCGTTACCCGGTTTCCCACATCGCAGAAATTATTTCTGCCAGGTACGTGAAAGAGAAAACGGGTTAGCTTAGTTCGATCGCAGGGCCCAATGGACATCTACGTTGCACCAGTCAAATATAGTCTTTTGCGAAGTTTCAAACATAAGTTTAACTGCATTGAACCCTCAGTGAAAACCTATACCGCCAGCACCAGAAGGACTCACGGCGAGAAGTGTGTGCTACCTCTTGGATCAGGCTTTTTTAACTCCACTTCTCATACAGAAGGTAGCATAGGTATGAACTGCCTGTCATCCGCTGGAAAAATATTACTGCTATCACACGTCGTCCGGCTATTAGTACCACTGCTCCTTCGGAGCCCCATCATAGCGTGGCCACTTGCATTACATATGTAACTGCTTTCGTCTTACTACTTTTCGACACTCTTTTCCAGAATGATAGGACTTCAAGGGACAAATGTCCCACTAGCATAGTTCGTTAGGCCATTTTGATATACAAACCTGACCACCAAGTCAAAGTAGTAGCTACCAGTCGGAAGAATAGCTAGGTGCCAAGCGACTGCCTATATCACAGTGAGCACAAAAATGATCAAGGTGCGAATAAACAACAAAGGTGAAACCTACCTGAAAGCATCAATGGGATCAATAATTTTTCTTAACTCTTCCACTTCTTGATCACGGATAGGCGCACAAAATCGTTTCATCAAGTTAATAACTTCATCTTTATACGTTTCTAAGCTTAAATGACCAGTTTCTTCTAGTTGAGATTTAGCGACATCAATATCCAAAAACTCTCCAATAAGTTTTCGCAAGGTTGTTTGATTAGGTAGAACTAAACCTTCTAGAGACTAAAATAAAGAATAGAGTTAAAAGTTTATCAAAAAATAATTTCAAATGAAAAATGCTTACATTATATGGATAATAACTAACGTTGAAGGAGGAACATATACACAACAGTCATATGAACTAACAATCTTCGGACCATCCATTTAACGTTCTAACAGTTGATTTATACAATCCAGGAACCATAGGTCTTAAGATTCCTGTAACCGAAATGTTCCGTTAGATTCATTTATTCTTATGAAGATAAACAATAGTAAAATTTAAGAAAAGACAGAAATCAAACTAAAAACTATACAACGCAGTTAAGACGCTATTTACTTTCTCCACAATAATCCATAAACGTTGTCTGCTTATAACGGAAATCTACATAATGTCAGTGTTGAGAATCACGCCCCCCAACTACTAAACACAATCCCCAGTCACCATTCACTTTGACATTCAGAGTTGACTGAAGTGGCAGTAGGCTGAAAGATAGCCAAAGTGAGGTGTGATATCATTATACAAAGTCATCGATTGGTTAAGGTCCCTTGAATAAAGAGCTTATTAGATAAATCTGTTAGTTGGTCACAGAGGTGCAGATATACTCCCCTGCTGTTGATGGTTTTTTAAGCCATCTTAGGACAAGATCGGGAATTTACTCTCATTAATATGTTCATTTTCGATGTGGCCTCCCACTTACACTACTAATGTCAATTTGAGCGTAGACCTATTAATGACCAGCAATATGTGACTCAGTCCCCGTAGTCAATATTCGTAACTCATAAAGCAATGAGTCCAACTGAAAAATATATGTACGGTTTTAACTAAATATCAGCGCAGATTAGTCCTGGATTATCATCTCCCACCTTCCGGGTGTGAAACATAAGTCTACCCTCAGAGTAATAATGAATAACATGCAGAATATCGTAATGTAGTTTTTTGATCCCAATGAATGCGCCTGTGCCACTGGGATAAATTTTCAGATAAATGGTACTCAAGATTTCGAAATGCCGATTTTTCCTATTTTCTGAATCCTAACCAAAACGCTGTATGAACTGTAACATGTATTCGTTTCATGAATACAAGCTTGATTGTGCATTCGCTTTCGAGTGAAATATACTACGCTGGGGATGTCAGTGTTACTGAGTCACGACAATTTAGGAAGGTAAAATGTTAGACATATATTTCACTTTATAGAGTATGCAACTCTGAGTTGCACTGGAGTTTACTGTACCTAACAGCATTGCGTAAATCTATTAAAGGACATTGATGCTCATTCAGCTCAGCAATTGACTGTGGACTGGTATAATAGGCTACGAACACCCTATATACCAGCTTCCCAACCTGGTAGGTGAATAAAATTCTGAACTCATAGCCTACTGATGTAAATGTCAATATTGAAGGTACATTAGTAATACTGTATAAAAAGACGGAAAATGTAATAATATGCATACATGTCTAATTTCTTCAAGCAATCGCAGAGCTGGTTGATAATCTGGTGGGTCAGAATTCAGGCTAGACCGCAAAATGTCCCAAAACGCCCTGTGCATCGTTTCTTTAATGTGGTATTCTAGACTATTCGAAAAGATATACGAAAGCATTGGTTAAATCAAAATAACGAAGTGATACAAAAAAAACCGAAAAGTTTATCAGATTGCTTATACAAAAAGAAACTCAAAGTTACTGTCCTATCATAAAATTATACACATACTCCTGAACAGTTGACGAAGCGAAACTTCTTAGTCTCTATCAGCATTGAGTGAAAAAAAACTGTTAAGTATAACACATTTTTATGAATTCTCAACAACTTAATAACTTCATAGTTGCTCAACTTTGTCATGAATGATTTCTTGTTTCCAGTTTATCAAAGTTTCATCTATCGACTAAATTTCTGAGTGACCTGAAGGACAACTTATCAATCGCATGCTTACAGAATAACACATAAATAGTATATGCTAGCTTAAATATGCAGAGTCTGTTTCAGTAGGATGCCAAAAACTCCTCATTTGAGTGAGGAAATGAAACTGAATCATCAATAGACACTGTCAGTAGATTTGTTTATCGACATTAAAGATGACAGAAACAAACAGTCTCAAATCTTTTATTATATGAGATCGTGTCACACAACAATTCAAATGTATCTACTTTTTGTACTACCCGTATAGTTCTACACCTACTTAACTCTTGGTTTATTCCCCCCCCCCTATTTCCTCCGTTATTTTCATTTTTCGTTTAATTTGGTCACTCCATTATAGCATTTGGAAATAGTTCATGATTCTACGCTTTCCCAGTCAGATATCGGAGTTCGACCTTGAACGGAAACGGTAAAAAATACAGCAAATGCCACGCATCGGTGTTTGATAAAGGTAGGTAAGTTTAAAGGAAGGTTGTTAGTATAGAAGCTCACTTATTAAACAGCAGGTTGGATCAATCTATGTAAAACCCCTTAGATAGGTAAACAGATGAGCTCTTGCACCACGACACACATTGTCTGACATGTAACCATCATAAACCATGAAAACAGCTTTTTCACATCGAATCCTAACAGCCCTCTTGCATAAGACAACATAAAAACTTAGAAACTAATACCCTCAATTTAAAGCTAATGGAGGATACAGCACCGGTATATTTGAATGTAGTTATAGTGAGAGACAACCTCGCCTAGTTAACTAGTTCACTAGTTACTAGCCAGTTCTGAGCCCGGATATAAATAGGAAAGGTTGGGCATGGGGCTAGCAACCCCACCCCAAAAACAACCCAATCACTGAAGAAACTTCAAAGGACAAAGAAAATCCAAAAAAATCAAAATAAACTAATACCTCGCTGGAATCGGAGACGAAATGACGCCGGTCGGTGAAAGCTTTCAGGAAGCCAACTGGTCGATATGTCTTCTCTCCGTCGATGAAAGCGAAAGTAAGGATGGGGACATGGAATGTCTACACCATGTTTGAACCTAGCAAGGCTGCCCAGATTGCCAGAGATGAGAAGGTATAGCATAGAAGTGATAGGAATCTGCTAGGAACCTGTAGATGAAATGGAAGTAGACTCTCCAAACTGTCAACTGGGGAGTCAGTAAACTACTCTGTTATTGTTACACAAACGACAACCATGAACACACTCACGGAGTGGCTATCATGACGTCCCCAACAGCATCAAAGGCTCTCATGCAGTGCGAACCAATGCCATCAACGATCAGGATCATGACAGCAAAATTCAACTCAAAAGGAAGGAAAGTCACAATCATACAACACTACACTACGCACCTACAAATAATGCAGATTAAGAGAAGGAGGAGGAATTCTACAGACAACTGCAATTAGTAATGGAAAAGACCCCACCCCAGCTGGCGACATTAAAATTCATTCCAACGAGTGGGGTGACGTGAATGCCACACTGGGAGCGGACAACACAGGAAGAGAACCAATCATGGATCGAGAGGCACTTGGTGAAATGAATGGGAATAAAGAACTGTTTGCAGACTTTTGAGCATTCAACAATTTGGTGACTGGAGGCACTGTGTACGAGCACAAGGATATTCACAAAGCCACGTGTATTTGATTTCACCAGACGCCAGGACACACTACACTAAGAACCTGATCGACTTCATTTCAATGTAAAGAAAGTGGAGACGTAGCCTACTGGACACAAGATCAAGAAGGGGGACAGATGTAATTAATTCAGACCAGTCGCTATCTAATACAAGGAATCTACCTTCAAAATCAAGTTGAAAGCCTTCAGAGAAGTTGGTGATAGGCAACAGTTGAAGTTGAACACCCAGAACATAAACTGGACTGAAGGACGAAACTACAAACGACACCTTCACGTCAGTCAACCATCAGAACAAAATGGGAAACATTGAGCAACATCCCTGAAGGATCGGGCGTGGAAGAACACTGGAACTCTTTGCAAAAGATGAGGAAAAAAACCTGCATAACCGTATCAGGAAGGAAGAAGACATGACAAGGAATAGATCTCGACGGACACATGGAAGCTGATAGAGAGGAGGATGGTGAAGTAAAAGATAAACCAGTTCGAGGAAGAACAACGACAAGAGGAAGTGAACACAACCTATAAAACACTTCACTGGACAAAGAAGTGAAGAAGACAAAGGATATTTCTGCAACACACTTGCAAGTGAAGTAGAGCAGGCTGCAGGTAGGAGAGACAGAAACCTGACAATACTATATCAAATAAACAGGTTACTGTCCGGGAGGGGAGAGATCAAAGCACATGAAACCAATGAAAGATAGTGAAGGAATCTCAGTCACCAAAGAAGAGGAACGAAGGAAACGATGAACTGACCACTTCAAAAAGCTCTTGAATCGACCACCACCTGCAACTCGTCCAGAAATATCGCCAGCGGCCCAGTCACAGAATTACCAGTGAACACAAGCCCTCTGACAAAAGCAGGAGTTCTGAAACCCATAAAGTTGTTGAAATCCAGGAAAGCAGCAGGATCACATGGAATGCCACCAGAAGCACTGAGAGCAGATGCAGAGTCAACAGTGGACATGTTGACACCACTATTGCAGAATGTTTGGAAGGAAAGGTTCCTGCCTGCCCATGGACTCGAAGAAGGGCTACCTTGTCAAACTTCCGAACGAGGGAGACCGAAGTCTTTGCAAGAACTGACACGGAATCATGCTCCACTCGTGTCCACCCAAAGCAAGCAAAATATTAGGCTGCATCCTTCTGGAGAGACTAAAAATTGCTCTGAATTCAAGATTACGACCGGAACAGGCTGGCTGGCTGATTGGCTGGATTCAGGAAGAATAAAACATAGGAGGATCAAATCGCAGCACTACACTACGCATCATCATAGAAAAGAGGATACAATGACAATCAACTGGACCTTTACCTCAACTTCATCGATTTTGAAAAGGCCTGCGATAGCGTCGACCGAGATGTAATTTAGAAACTGCTTCAAAGACTACTATTTCAGTGCCACAAACCGTTATCAACCTCATTCAACAGCAGGTATATGCTATATGATGATGATGCTACATGTCAAGTGATTCACAATGGAAAGCTCAGTGACGTCTTTGAAGTGAAGATAGGAGTAAGACAAAGTTGCTGCCTACTATCACCAATGATCTTTCTGATTGTGGTCGACTGGATCATGCAAGAAATTGTGAGGAGCTGTGAGAAGATGGGCATACGCTGGCTGGATCGATGAAAGAACCCTAGAAGATTTGGATTTCGCCGATGACTTGTGTCTAATGTCACACAATCTGGAAGATCTACAGGCAAAAACCAACAAGTCAGAAGACGGGACCTCAAGTGAACGTAGAGAAGACAGAGGTGAGGAAGATACCTAATCAACAATATGCACCGATCACCATAAATGGGAGAAACCTAAAGGAAGTAGTCTGTATCACCCACCTAGACAAAGCAGCATCTTTTCAGCTACAGGCCGCGGCACAGATGAAGATGTCAAAGCCAGGTTTGGAAAGACAGCAAGAAGGCCTTCATTAACCTGAAATCAGTGTGGAGATTTACTTCAATCAGCATAAAACGTGAACAAGATCCGGATTTTCAACACTAATGTCAAGTCAGTGTTTCTATATGGTTGAGAAACTTGGCGCGTTACGAAAGCATTTCCAACAAACAGCAGAGATACATCAACAGCTGCCGCCTACGCTCACTCGATACTGAAGATCAGATGGTCAGAAAGAATAAGTAACAAGAAACTCTGGCCGACTGGCAACGAACCAACCAAGAACCTATCACCCAATGAATATGCAGAAGAAAGTGTAGATTGATTGGATTGGGCATACACTGAGAAGACCATTTAGAGACATCACTCACCAGACAGTCGAGTGGGAGCTAAATAGAAAACAACAAGTTGGGTGTCCAAGGAGAGGGTGACATGGGAGAGATAGTGTGAGGAAGAAATGAAAGCTTGTGTGTACTGATGGAGCCAGGTTGAAAAAACTGGAGGGAAGAGAGTGGAGTGGCGACGTGCTACTGAAGCCCTATATTCCACTAGGAACCCAAGGGACAAATAATAATAATAATAATAATAATAATAATAATAATAATAGTGAGTAAAAACTACGTCAGACCCGGAAATGCAATCCATGATACACAACGGTTTCTACCGTTGGTCAACTTCAACGAAACGTGAGTAAAATCAGAGAAGTAAAAACACAAATAGTTGAAACATAACAACTGGAATCATATCCTACAGTAAAGAAACATTATAGCAGCGGCAAAACCTGACGGTTCGAAATTCGATATGAAAGTGATCACAAGTAACACCTAAAAGTCCCTCAAACAGTCAAACACCTGTCTAGTAGCTTCCAGCTTTCGACTGATACTGGTTAGTAATAAGATCGTCTTCGACACAATTGATTACAATTACTTACAAAGTTTACCCAAACGTACCTTTTCTCCTGAGGTTCATACTTTTCTAACCTGAACTGAGAATCCACAGTTATTTCATGGGCCAAAGACATATTGTAGAACGCTTCAGCTGCTTCAGCAAGCTGATTCATAGATACAAACTTTGGTGGTGAGGCTAAAAATAGAAACAAATTCTGGCCGAAATACAGATAATCGGAGACCATACGAAATCAAAAAGAACCCATAATTCGTTTTTGATTCATTTCAATTTGTAATCCCAGTGTTTTATGAAGTGGTGAAATGAGAGTGTTTATGGCTGTCCTTCACCAGTGAGTCTACTCGACAATTTTATCCTTCAAAACCGACTTCTTCCTAACCAAGAGAAGTTACTCGACGATTCAGTCGAAACTATTCCATTGACATGGTTTCGATGGTTGACAGATTCGGTTGGTGAAGAAACGCAAAATTCTACTCGAAACGACTGCATAGTAAAGGTACATTACTAGTATAGCTTATGAAATCCTAATACAATGACTTAGAATTTGATAGAAATGTATAAATATAACTGATGAAGCGGGCAGTTCGTAAGACACAGACAAATCAACGTACAACCTAGTGCAAAAGTCCTGATTCAGGTTGCCACATTACACAGCAGCAGATAAAAAGCAAGTGGGTAGAAAAAGATTGAAAGTGAGTAGCAGTAAAGTTTTCACTTGAACTTTTCTCCGCTGTTACCGTTTTGATTGATTTTCTAGCCTCTATATAACTATGATTTTATTGTGTAGTGTTTTTTAGTTTTAAAAAATTAGAATAAAGCATAACTTGGGTAATAGAAAGAATATAACGCAATTAAAGCATATGCGAATTATGGAAGTAAATCTGAATAGGAAACTACACTCACAAACCAATATTGTGCTTTTAACATTGATTTGAGTGCGAATAACTATATACCTTAGGTAACTCCTTGTGGATTCACCAAGGATGAATGAATAGAAATAACGCTATGTGAACTGTGCAATAGAACTAAATAGTGAGAACTGTGGTTCGATGGCTTAAGTGGTCCACTTCCAACCAGTGAGTAGTGGGTTAGAACTCTGATCAACCTACAGAGGTTCGGACAGCTAGATACCTTACAACCCAATATGATAAATGTCGCATTGCTGAGTGCATGCAATTGTATATGGTTACTGGGAAACGCCTATCTTATGATCTCATAATACCTATATGCGGAAAAGAATGGTGAAAAAATTTCGTTTAACAGAGTAGATAGAACAGTCAGTGGGGAAATAATCGACAAAACTGACGACTGAAGATACTGGTAAAACTACTAAGATCAACGGTGACAGAAGTTGTGTATATTTTTTCAGTGACAATAACAGTTGGAAAGTTGCTTCAGTATACCCCACAGCTTAGACAAGTTTGCGTTGTAACTAATGATACAATTTTGAAAATGCTGAACGCTAAAAAACAATAAGTGACTTGTATGAATAATGTCATTTGCCTCCCGAAACTAGTTTGAATAATCTGATCGCAAGTGAACCCTAGATATTGCTGCGCAAAACAACAGCGTCGGGCACAG